ATAAATTTTATATTGAAAATATATTTGATAATTTAAATAATTTGATTGATATTTTCATACTAAAAATATCAGTTTAAAAATTAGAACAAATTAATTTACATTAAATTATTTTACTTCTATAACATATTGTACTTTTATTTATTCATATTATTTTATTTTTAAAAAAGATATTTGTTGTTATTAAAATTAATTAAGATTAATTTTTATAACATTTGAATGATTTTATCATTTTTTCTATTGAAATATATTCTCTCAGATTCTTTGATTGTCTTGTTATATCATTTTCTTTTCATTAAGAAAGATTCTATTAAGAAAAGTGTTATATAACCATTATGTTTTAATTGTCCAATACATTCATCAATTTTTATAGAATAAATTATTGGTTCATTTGTTAATTTTAATACTTTCATTATTTGTTTATTCATTCATCTCATAAACACTGGATATTTAACATTTCCATATTTAATATGTACTACACATTCTTTTCTTATTATATTAATTTTATTAACATATGCTATTAATCCATATTTATTTTTTGATGAAAATGGGAATATGATTGTTTCTATTTCTTTAATATTATATTGTAATTGATATATATTATTATTCTTTGATATTCATCATAACATACATTTTTGTGGAACATTAAATGTTTTCATTATCTTTTCAAATTCATCTTCTGTTAATATACTATCATATTCATGTATTTCATTAATATATGTTTCATTTTGAGATATTTTAATGATAGAATTATGTGAATGAATTGATGACATTCTTTCTTCAACATTATCTTCTTCAATAATTTCATTATCATCATTAATTATTTTATCTTCATCATTTTTACTTCTTTCACTAATTACATACTTCTTCATTTGAAATGGTGCAATTTCATTAAAAAATACTTCTTTTGATTTTCTTTTCCTAAATTCAACTTTATTCCTTGGATGTACATTTGTATTATGTTTCATTTTATTTACAACTACATTTCCTATCAAACTATAACTCTTTGGTAATTCAATATTAGAAATAGATTTATCAGTCCAATTTATTCTAGTTTGTTTTGATTTAAAAGCAAATGATGGAAGGTCATCATAATTAATAAGATATTTTAATGACATATTTTTTCTTTCTTTCATCAAATGATAACAATACCATGCTACTTTATGATTAACACTTCTTATTTGATAACTAATACAATATTGAATCTCATCACATAATACTTTATTATTCAATAAATTATATTGTGATTTTAAAATTTTCTTTGAAAATTCATTCAATAATTTAAAATGAAGATCATTTTTATCTATAATTTCATCATGAAGATCAATACTAATTATATTATTAAACATTGTATTTCCAATTGCATAAATATTGTCTGTTAATAAATATAAAGGAAGATTACTATGATTAATTATTTTTTTTAAATAACCAAAGAATCCTTCTACTCTATTTGTTGTAAAATCTCGATACATCCCATATTTGATACATTCAGAAGTGTTGAATTAAATCAATTAAACACATCAATCCTTTATTAATATTTATTCCTTTTGCTTCTTCTATTAATTGTTTAATATTATCTTGTAATGTATTAGTACCATCTATTGATTTTATAATATCACTTGTATTAGGTTCAAACAACTGATCATCATCATTTTCTTCTTCTTCATTATTTTCTTTATCATCATAACAAGTATTTTCATCATCATCATTGTCTTCTTCAATATTTTTAATATTTTTCATTAAAATACTTTTCAATGTTTCAATTAAATCATTTTCATTTAATTTCATATTCATTGTTAAATGAAATAATTTCATTATTATATGATCACTCTTAAAATATTTTATCAATGATCTTTCTATATGATTTCTACACAAAAATAGTTTAGAATAATGAAATATTTGTTTCAAAGCATTATATTGAGCAATACAACGATCACAGACAATGATTTCATGTCCATAATTTAAAATATTATAAAGTTGATGAAAGAATAGTTTATATGAAATTTCAGATTGATCAAATAAATATCCAAATGAAAGAAGTTGGTTAAAAGAATTATCATCTTTTACAATAACAACATATAAATTTTTATTATATATATTTGTTTTAGTTGTATCATCAACATACCATTTTCTTTTACTATATTCCATTTGAGCCACTTTCTTATGAATGAATAATATCGAATGAATATAACCATTAGTGAAAGTATTTGTTAATTTAATAAATGAATCATTTTCAAAAAATGATTCTGAAAGAAATATATTTTCAAATATTTTATTTCTATCTTCTTCTCTCTGAATTTGTCTAAATTTTCTAAGAGGAATTTGAATATGAGGATGATTTACAAGAAATTTTAT